AGGGTTTCGGCGCTCGCGCTCGGACACTCCATAGGCGAGGCATGTGGTTCGAGGTCTGCAAAGAGAGGTGAAACCCAAGGTTTTTAGGTTTCACGCTGACCTTTCGGGCTTAGGGCTTAGAACCTGCACGTCCTGATTCTCAAAGCTCTTGCTACATGTTTACATACATATTCTATCTATCTATCTACCTATCTATACATGTATACATATGCACATCTATTTATCTCTCTCTTTATACCTAAATTTGTTCTCAAGCATGCCCTACCGCAGAACTCCTATATCAGATGCTTGGAAATGCCCTTCTCAAAAACTGCTAGTTTGGTAACTGGCATGTAGTTCCTCGTATCAGAGGGCTCCAAAGGTGGGATGAAGCTAGGTGGGGTATAAGAGTCCTGGTGCTTCTACAAGGGCTCCTTCGTAGACCCTAAACCCTAAACCCTCAACCGTCAGCCCCAACCCCTAAACCCTGAAACCCCCCAAAGCCCAGAGGAGCCCTAAACTCCGAAAAGCCCTACATTCATTGATCCCACCTTTGGAGGCCCCTGATCATAACTCGAGCCCAGTCAATCGCAGCACAGGGCCGCGAAAGGTGCTGTGGGTCGAAGTTGCTCAGCAGCCAGCCCTGGACCTCCCCCCAAAGGCAAAGCGTTTTGGCGCATTTGGGCTTCAGGGTTAAATTAGAAGTTTAGGGAGGTTTGGGGCTTGATGAGTAGGGCTTTGGGGGTTGAGGGATTAGGGTTTCAGGGTTTAGGGTGATCTACTCTGCTTGGTTTTTGACCTGGGAGCCTGAGGAATAATCTCTGCCAGTGTTTGGGATTAGGTGGCTTGAGGCCTAACCCAGCCTCTACAAATCCGCTACAGAACCCTTACAGAGCTGACGCCGTCTAACCCCCTTAAACCCTGTTTTGAAATTGGGCTTGCTGGCTCACAGAATCATTAAACTCGTAGGACTTGAATGCCTTTGGGGGGGAAAAAATGGGGGCTTCAGGGACCCCCAAACCTACAAGACCTGAGCTAAAAGCACTCAAATCCGGACGTAACCCCAAGTTTAACCCTTTTGGTTAGGCCCTATAGACCCTAAGCCACCCTAAACCCTACACCGTGGTTATCCCTTTGCTTTTTTTGCTTCCAGCCTGCAACAGCCTCTGCTGGGAACGAGACAAGTAACAAGGGCCTTTACAGCAAACCTTCAAGTCGCATGGCTACACCCCTCTTTCTGAGCAGGGACTGCAAGGCACTAAGCCCCGATTCCCTGCAGCCAAGCTCCATAAAACCCGAAAATCTCAAAACACCCGGGGCTTCTCCCCCCGACCTGTGCCGCCATCGAGTCGAAGAGCGCTTCGTGGTTGATCCGCATGGTGGCAAAAGACCAAACCTGGACTTCGGGGTGTATGCTTTCGCAACTCCGACAAGCCAGGCAAGGTCTATCTCTTGCAGGCATGACACTGCGTGAAGCACCCCATGACTCGTACTATACAAGGACAACAACAAACAGGAATTGATCAGACACGCCTAAGGGCAGATAGGCTATCGAGACTGCCATAGCGCCCATCCAGCAGAACATGGTTGCATCTCGAGAGCTGTTATTACTCGGTAGGTTAGCAAGCACCAGCGAAATCCGGCCCAGGGAAACTAGCCACCGTTTAGGGCTTAGGGCTGATACAGGTTAACCGGATTTAAAAGAGCTGGACTGTGTGTGTGTGTGTGTATGTGAGACCATGCTATGATTATTGTCGTTGTGGTTGCTTCTGACAACTTGGCCAGGAATCACGTAGAGCGTGTGGAGTCCCGATGCGTTGGGGGCGGGCCGTATAGCAGAAGGTTGCTGCGAGGGAAGTATCGCTGCAGGTATCCTTGATAAGAAAGTACACTTCCGAAAACGAATCACCTGACTGGCGATAAAACACGAAATCATAAAAAGGGTATCTCTCTCTGTCTCTCTCTCTCTCTCTCTGCCTGTGTGTGTGTGTGTGCGCGCGCGCTCGCTGTCCTTGTACATGGACACCAAAGCATGCTTCCACAAATTTTCGCATACATGTTGTGGGGTTGCAGGGGGGCAGCAACAGTAGATCAAACGCCACCCGACGAAGCTATGTCTGAAAGTGGACGAGTGGAGATGGTCCATCGCAAGCCAACGCGATTAACAAAAGCCAGGCCTCTGAGATCAGCCAAAGCAGGTTCGGTTTTCACACACACACACACACAAACGACATGTACGAGTAAGAGTCTGGTTGAACAAGATGTTATTGTTGTTTCCACAGTCGAGCCATCTTGCATATCGGGCAGGAACACGTTAGCCAGCAGCTCCATGGCATAAGGCTTTAAGGCATGCAGATGCATGCAGTCACAGGTCGATCAACTAGCAAGTGTCCCGCTCTCGCTCGCTCTCTCTCTCCCTGTCTGTTTGTGTGCGTGAGAGATTAGGATGGTTGAACGTTCCAGCCTCCACCAACAGGCGACGAATAGCAATTCTTTCGCTGCTGCTTGCAAGTGCGACGAAAATGGTTAAGCCAGGAGAGCTACATAAAACTACTGCAGTTTGTTCAGCCGGAAACTAGACTAGGTGACCACCTGTCCCGAAACGCAGGAGGCAATTGTCATGCCACTTGAACGGTTGTTCTTGACTGCAAAAGCCAGGAAGTGCGACAACTACTCTCAATGACCCTATACCGCCGTAATGGCTCAAGATACAAGACCCCACACACACACACAGAGACGCACATGCCATACAGCTTACAGCGCAGATGTAGATACGTGCCCGTGTGAAAGACGGCATGAGCTCCGAGTCTGTATGTGAAACGAGGAATATCTGCTGCGTTTAAAACCCCTGAAGGAACCCTTGAAAGTACACCCCCTTAACGGAACCCTTAACATAACTCCCGATATTAAAGGCTCCCCATGTTGCCTTTTGAAAACCCTGCCACCGCTAGGGCCAAGACCAGATTCGAACCTCAGGCACCGGCAGCTATTCGGATTATGGAGAGATACAGTGGCCTTACTGCTTAATTTTTTGAAAAACGGGTCTTGGGGCATATTGCTTAGTTGAATGTGTAACGAAGCAGGAACGATAAGGCCTTTCTGAACTCCCATGTCGGAGACTCCAGGGATACTGCACGGGCATTGATAAACAAAAACAGTGCCACGGACCTACACACGAGCGACTGTTCTGCACCTTTTTTTAGGGTTGATGTGTTTTAATCAGGGCTTTGGGGTTTAGGATTTGGGGGTAGAGTGATTTCGGGCTTCGACTCCCACAACTCGCAGAGAACAAACACAACTTCGCCAAGAGCCGTGCAGTTCTGAGAGGTAAACTGCGGAGCCATTTGGACTGCTGTGTCAGCCACCTCGGCAATAGCGTGGACTCCCACATGCTTTGTTTTGAGTAAATGGGAATACCTACTCCGCACTTGGAGTACAAAACCATGGTATTCTGGAAGGCAACCCGTTCGACATCTGCACCTCGACCACAACTTTTTAGCGTGGACTCCGACATGCTTTGTTTCGAGAGAATGGGAATACCTACTCCGCACTTGGAGTCCTTGACGAGGCTTGGGATCAAAACTACTTGCTTCAGACATACTAAGATTAACAAGTATCCTTGGCGAAGGATCTTTCATCCATTCCGGCCTTTTGGACCAGGGGCTAGGCGAATTCGTCTCACGGATGCCGACCTCTACACACTACAGCCCCGTGAGAACAAAGCCCCATCGCCTGGGGAAGCTACAGCCATGACCTAAACCCTAAACCCTAAACCCTACTCCCTAAACTAACGCCTAGGGTTGAGGAGCAGATCTTGAGCTTGCCGGCTACATGTTTAGGACTACACAGCGTTCGCCCCATCCAGTTCCAAGTCTCAGTCAGCAGCGTTTGCACCTTTTAATAATAAAGCTGGTTTATGGTTCAAAACCATGGTATTCTGCACGGCACCCCGTTCAACATCTGCACCTCGACCACAACGCTTTATTTCGAGCTTGCAGCCAGGGGAAAGGCATCGCAGGACAAAATTGACTTCAGCTGAAACCCTACCTACAGGGTAACTGTTTGGGGGAACCGAATTTTATAGTTAGTATCTGTTGTATGGAAAGCTAGGTACCCTAAAAAGGGGCAGGGTATGACTCCAGGTACGAAGCCCTTCGTGCCCAAGAAAGCTCCGGAACATCCTTAAGGGACTCTTTGACGGCAAAATACACCCTAAACCCTGAACCCTAAACCTGCGATGCTCGGAGTTCCCGTTGTGCTGTCCAACCTCCCGGTTTGACTGAACAGACACCTGAAGCTACCCATAGGCTCCATTGTAGTGCCTTTTTGGGTAACCTTATAGGATCCTGAAAGATACAACCCACAAAAAGGAACTACACTGGGCCTATGGGTAGAGACCCTGAACTTAGGGGCTGAGTACCCTAGCCCGAAAAAGGTTAACCTTTCAATTATGGTAGGATTATATAAGCCCAAAAAGGTTAAAGGTTACCTACTCAGCTACTACCTGGACCCCAAAAGTATGTAGAATAATAGCCTTTTTATGGGTTTTGGGCCATTATTTTACCTACTTTTGGGGGTTTAGGTAAGTAAATCTTACCCCTGTGAGCTCCAGGCCCACTGGAAGAACTTTGGGTCGCGCAGACCTGCTCGCAGGATAACTCAGAGCCAGAGATCCAATTGGATGAAGGCTAAACGGTTTAGGGTTTAGGGGTTTAGAGTTTAGGGTTTATAGAGTTAAAACCTCAACGTTAAACCCTAAGCCCTGTTTACTACATGCTAACCCCTAAATAGTGTCCGATAGGGAGTGCAAGGTTTGGCAAGGTTCAGGGCTCAAGGCAAGCAAGCTCTGACCTCTGAGCAAGATGCTCTCTCTCTCTCTCTCTCTCTCTCTCGATATATATATATATATATACCGACATACATATATGTGTACATATACCTAATTTCAATAATATATAAAGTTTATGTATATACGTAGATGTAAGTATGAACGAATGCATGCATGTATCGTATTGCAGATGTGTATGTGTATGTGTACATATATCTACATAATATGTATCTTCTCATGTCTTCTAGTTTGGGGGCCGCACGCGAGGGTCTAAAACCGAGGCACCTCGCAACGCTTAGAATTCAAGGTGCTCGAGCATCTGCCTGATGTTGTTCAGCTTCCTGATTTGCGATTCAGTCAAGTTTCTCGAGGCTTCTTGGAACCGCTTCTCATACCAGCAACCTTCGGACGTGTGTGCACGCTGTCATTTTCCGAGGAGTGGTTGACAGCTAACAAGGGCTTCCAGCAAGGCTTCCTCGGGGTCCATGTGCCCAAATCGTATTGTTATAGACTTTGGCCCCACAGTACCTATATAGGGACTACTTGAAGGCCACTCAAGTATCCCAAGTCATGTACTACTCTTTGTACCCTCGTGGGCCCAGTCTGCTCCTGAAACTGCTGGGGTCTTTCTCCGTTCATACCCGTAGTAGCTCAAGTGCGAGGGGCAGGAGCTTGCTGAGCAGGTCGTGCAGGCTTAGGGATCGTGTTTAGAGATCAAGTAGGGTTCAGGACAGTTTAGGGTGGCTCCTATTGCAAACTCCGAACCCTTATATAGTCATAGGGCCCAAAAGCCCCAAACACGCACCCCAATCACTAAATCGGATATCCGAGGGTCCATGTGCCTAACCTATATAGACCTACGTAATAGTATACTTGGGTCTTACACGGCGGGTAAAGTACTCTACGACTAAGACCCTTAACCCTAAACCCTAAACATATACTACAAGACTTGAAAATCAGGGGCGGTTTAGAGTTTGCGGCGTTTACGGTTTACGGGTTCAGGGAAAGAGCCCTGCCTTGATGAAGGGCCGCTCGTAGAGGATTCTGAAACGGATGGTTAACAAAACATGCGACAGAATCCGAAAGGAGTCACCCAAAAACTGCAATGCCAACACCAGCAGCCCTAAATCCCTGGCCCTGAACCCTGTACTCCAAAAACAGAATCTCTACCACCCTAAACTAAACTCAAAACCTCTATCTGTCTCTAAAACACATGTCACACAACTCAAAACTCCTACCACACCAGACCACAAAACCTCCAACTGATTGCTTCAATTACTAAGCTCTACAAATCCTAAACCCCCAACTAGGGAAATCTAAACTGTCCCAAAGGACTACCTGGCTTCTAAAGCGGCTCCAAGTCAGATGCGCCTACGCGGCGAGTGGACATCTCTCCATGCCAGCCGGCGCTGGCGAAGGCCCAGGACTTGGAAAAGCAAGGAAGGACGGGTTTAGGGTTTACCTAAACCCTCAAAAGTAAGTAAAATAATGGCCCAAAACCCATAAAAAGGCTATTATTCTACATACTTTTGGGGTCCAGGTAGGGTTCAGGGTCGGAGTGTTTACGCGTTCCGGATCAGTCGTACGGGGGTTTTAGAACGAGCTTTTCTGACAGGCTTCTCAGCTTTTGACCGGGCTTGTGAGGGCTTGTGTAACGTCTCAGGGTTCAGGGTTTAAGGTTCGAGGTTCGCAGTTTAATGTTTTGGGGGCCTACACCCTTTCGGTGTTCCCGAATGCTGGATGCTCCAAAAAGCTCCTTACGACCAACGTGGTGAACTGGAGAGGCTCCTCAAAGTCCGGGGCAGGGCCTACTCAGATGGGAGCCTCACATCACAACCTAAGGCCCAAGTAAAAGGGTCCATCCTTGTCCTAATTTCAGGACCCCAAACTCAAAAGCAAAGCCTACAGGACATGCTTGACTGAAGCTCCTGTGCTAGTCCAAAGGCAGGCCAAAGATCGCGAAGCCTGGGTTTCGGGCTCCGGTTTACGGTTCCGGGATTGATCTGCAACCCAAAATCATAGGACTGGGATGTACAGCTACACTCTGCTAGGAAAAAACCTTCAACCCGATACATCAATATAGCCTTAACTTCACCTCTTAGCCCTGATAACACCCAACCACCGTATTTGCCCCAAACCCCCGGAACCCAAAAACCATGCCATCTGGGATGTGCCATCATTTTCGCGGCGATATTCGGCGATTGCACGCCGAGGATGCAAATTCTGCCGTGTTGCTGCCGTGCGACCGCTCGCTTGGGATTTTGTTGCTCGGGGTTTCGTGTTTGCAGGTAAAGGCGATCCCTTGCCTTGCTTAAGGGTTTCGATTTTGTCTAGCTTGGTTACCAGTGTTTGCCAACGAGCTACAGATTATTACAGCTTCAACAACTACTACAATACGTTCTCATGTTACCCGCAACATTTGAAGCATGCGGAATTCAATCGAAACACTGAGCCCTCAGCAGACTAGGCCTAAGCCCAAACATAAACCCTAAATCCTAAACCCTAAACCCTGAAAGCCGTAAGCCTCACGATCCGACCTTCCGGGACAGCGCAGAAGTCTATACAGGAACCACTTACTCAGTCACCTGGGCCTTCAAGTTAGGATCATGAAACATAGGGGCTTCAAAAATTGGAGTAGGGCTTTGGGGTATACTTTACAGTGATTATAATCAGGAACCTCCAAAATATTTAACTGTTTAGGCCCCTGTTTACACCTATGCGAGACCTGTCACAGGGCAGCACGCATCAGCGGGAAAAAACGGCGTTTTGCGCCAGTGGAAGCAGCAGAGAGCTTCTTGGGTTAACTGCAAACTGCCGTTTAAGGGCTTCGTGTCTATAGGGCTTTGGGAGTGTCAGGGTTAAGGGTTTAGGGTCAGAAAGTGGAACATGGAAGAAGAAGCCCGCGATGCGCACACGCACACGCACGAAACTAGACCCAATAGAGGATAACCGCCAGCTGCCGTAGATCCTACGCACCATCAAACCCCGGAGCCATGAAAGCCTGCTGTGGGGAATAGTAGGATATAGTCATATGACTAGTAGCTCCAAGCGGGTGCTCCTACTAACGTCTGACTTGTTTATCACAGCCCGAACCTTCAACCTGCGACAAGAACCCTCTGTCTGCAAGAGTCTGCATGCATGTGCATGGGTGAAACCTTCCACGACGGGTCCAAGTAGGTTTTCATGGGTAATGTGGGTTTAGGATAGGTAACCCAAAGCTTTTCTATTGTTTATATAACGGGCTTCAGGGTAAACCGTTAGAAAAGCATGGAAAAATACTACACCATGGCTTGTGCGAGCTCGCGCAGGCACGAAGAGTTTTAGATGACTTCAATCACAAACCGATGCTTCTACAGCAAGAAAACATGTCACCGCCAAATATCTCCAGGTCCATGACCCTTTTTCAGCATGGGCTTGGATTGTGTGCCAGCGAACACACCTCAACAGCAGGTCCATGACCCTAAACCTAAAACCCCTAAACCCTAAACCCTGCAAGCCCCCGAACTGAGGAATACTGGGACATCGACCTCCTATTCCGAATGCAAGGGCATGGCTTTGTTGAGAAGAAGGCTGCAATTAAGTGAAGGGGTCTTTGCGGGGATCCATACGGTTGATGATATAATTCCTGCATGACCCATAATAAGGAAAATACCATAATTCTCATAGTTTAGGGTTCTTAAGGTCATGCAGGAATTATATCATCAACAGCAAGAACCTACATAAGGGCTTGATTGAAAATATAGAAAAACCCCGAGCTCAGATCCCTGAAGGCCCGAACTTGGCCAGCAAACAAACCTCAAGCCTTCCTATAAAGACCAAAGGCTTTAGGGCTTAGGGTTTATAGGGCTTGAGCCGAAAAACTATAGACGCAGCAACAATCCCAAAGATGTCAAGACAGCTGTGTTGGCGCATGTTATGATCTAGCCAATACTTTAGCACCATGCTATGCTAGTAACTGAACTTCGAAATCCCGAGCTTCCGAGCTCCAAAGGAGGTCAGCAAAGGCTTGGACCCTCGGGCTCTGTGCCCATTTCCACGTCCTGCAAGAGTCCCGTCTCAGAAGTTGGATGGGCTCCGTGCTCTCTTTCGCAAGTCTTTCGTGGCACTTTGTAAAACCCTGGCACGGCTAAAGCTCTTAGGAGGCTGTGCAACAGAACTGTTGGAGTCTAGCTTAGGGTTTTTCGGGTTCATCGAAGACCCCTGATATACAAAATCCTCTCCTCCTGGTAAGGATCGAAAGGGATTCGAATAATGAGGCCCTGGGAGCTTTCTCAAGCATGGGGGCTCATTGGCTTGTTGTTAACAAAGACTGGGTGTTAGGCCAGCTTATTGGCGGTAAAACGGTCTGGGATGGTTGGTTAAGTAAGCGGAACGTTCGCCTCCCGCAACCCTCAACCCTAAATTACCCCTAATCCCCAAACCCGCCTGTGCAACCCTCACCTCCTCTTGAGGCAAAACCCGAAATCCTAAACCCCTAAGCCCTAAACGCCCCTCTGGCAATGATTGGAATCAGCTCGAAATACACACCTGAAGCAGGGGGCTTTGGCGGAGGGGGTGGGTGGGGGTACACTACAATACATATAACCATGTACGTAAGGGCCATAGGATGGGAACGCATCATTAAAGCTTATTCAGAGCTCCATGCTAGTCTGAGTGATAGGTTCCTGCAGGTTCTACATTGTCTTTCTTGAAGAGCTGTATTCTTGGTGCCTTCTAGAGCCTCTCTGCCTTTGAAGCGCTTCACCCGGGCTCTTTTTAGCAAATATTTCGAGGCCGGAATAAGTAGACTGAGGATACCGCAGGGAAGCAAATGGTCTGTTTTGGGGCACCGCAAATATATATATATATATATATATTAGCACTGCATGCTATTATAAGCCACCAACCCTGAACCCCCTAGCCCTAAATCCTACGCCCAAAAACGCTCGGTATGGTCAGGGTGACGTTGGGTTTCAGGGATAACGTTGTCGGATGGCTTGGCTTGTAGCCCCGACGTTATTTGGCTTTGAGATCCTGGGTTTAGGGCTTTCCTATGCTTTCCTGGACCCTAAACCCAGACCTTGTGTGGCACGTGACCCATAATAACACAATGTTATATAACTGTAAACCCGAAAACAATAAGTTCTGTGCGGTACGCAGGGGTTGGGGATTTGGAGTCTTGTATCCAAGATCTAGAGTATGAACTCGTTAAGCTTATGGCGAAGGCATGGGGATCGGCGCTTTAAATAGGGCCCCTTAATAGTTAGAAGAAGTTTGGGGTGTACCAGAGTAAACTTATAAGAATCCTACTGACTAGCATGGCTAATTATTCAGGCTCCTACTGCACCGTGGCCTGGAGCTCCTGAAATAGGAGTTAGGCTTACGGGGACCCTTGGGGATATAGACCCTCGCAATAAGGCCCCTTTTAAGAGAGCCAAAAGAGGGGTTTAGAAGGGTCCCCTTTAAGGGGTCTCCCGAAAACACTAGCTAGGATGAAAGCAGATTAGGACCCAGACTCTTCAGACTGGAAAGCTCTTGTCACTTCGCGGGCATTTGCCCTTGCAAATGCACTGCCACTCGACCTGGGCGATGGCTTTGTCGACTGGAAAGTTCGTATCTTAAGAACCCTGTAGTAAAGACCCATAAAACCGCGAAACAACCCAAAAACTCTTTCTTTCAGGAGTCAAGAGTCTGCACTACGCACCACTAAGCCCCACAATCCTCCTCTTATTTGAGGAAGTGAGAGTCCAGTATACTAAGCACCTGTGAGGAATTCAAGAGTCAAATCCCGTACTACGCACCCCTTTCTGCAACTGCCCTACAAGGACTCCGCAACCCTCTTGTTCGGGCCCCGGTGATTGTATCGGCATAGGGACTGTAAAAGGAGTGCCACAACGAGCATAATTACAGGGATAGGCCCTGAAGCCCCGAGCTGTTGACTCTTTCCGCAGCGATAAGCCTTTAGACTAGCTATTCCACCAACACCCCAACCCTCGCTTCTTGGTGAAGCCTAAGCGCGATTTTGTCAAAATTACACAAACCCAAACCCTATTTTCGTTTGTGTTCCCTCTAAGTCTCTAAGCCTTAAGAAACGTTGCTCCGGAGGCCAAGGATTAGGGCTTGGGGCGGTTAAGGAGCAGTTTTCGAGAAGCCGAACCCGACATTACAGACCCCATGTCCCTCAAGGAAGCCTGCTCTCCGACAAAGATAAATTTGAGGACTCCACCCGCCTTCGCTGACTCGGGTTCTGTCAACGACTCCTACTGCGACATAAGAACAAGGAGTTATAAGGGTTTTCGAGACCGTACTTGTAAGCGTCGCTTGCTTACCTGACTGCAATCGAAATTCTTCGAAGTTGATGAGCAATTGGATCTCCTCCATTCTCATGCCTATGCAACTCCTCCGATTACTCTGGGTATCTATCTGAAGTAGACCCTGAACCTTAAA